TTACTTGTTAATATTTCGAATACCGAAAAAATTAACTGAACTCTCAAGAAAAACGAAAAATTCATATAAAACGACGGACGCGAAATGGAAAAGAAATTTTCTTCTACCAAAATTTCTTAAATCAGTTTGCAGCTCTCAAGAAAAAAATGCTCGTATATTTATTTCCTCATAGAAATTTACAGCAAAAGCAAAGCGCTTTTTCAGGCAACAGAAATTATAATAAATATTTCTTATAATTTCCTTGAGCTGGATTCTTAGCTTTAAGATACAGTTTGTATTTGAGGTTATTAGTTTTAGGGGGGGTTTGAACCCCAAAACCCACCCCTTGTGTGCGCTAATGCATGTTAAAATATTTAAAAAATATTAGAACTAAAAATACAAATTAAATTTTTTTGTTTGATTATGCCTTGAATTATTGAGCAAGTTTTAGCATAAAAGTGTTGGCTGCTCGAAAAGAATTTTACCTAGACATATTTCTTAAACAGTGTTGCCATCACATCACAAAATTCTAAATATTTGAAAGCAACAAATATTCCAAGGCTGTTGTTAGGCTTTAAGTGATGTTTGCAGCTCTCTATAAAAAGGAAAATTCCTATAAAAAATGCCGCACAAAAATTGGAAAAGAAACATCCTTGTACCAAAGTTTCCTAAAATAGTTTGCAGCTTTCAAGAAAAAAATGATCGTACATTTATTTGTTGCATAAAATTTATGGAAAAAGCACAATTACTTTTTTCAAGTAACAGAAATAATGAAAATAATCTTGTGGTTTTTCCCAAGAGCTTCAAATTTCCAAAATTATTTTCGTCATAGTTGCCACTCAACTGAAAACAGCATTAAACAAAATAATAAAGAAATACTCTTGTGAAAATAACACTAAAATTCAATTAGTTAATAATATTAATTACTTAGCCAATACCATTTTTTGAATAGGGTACTCAGTCCTGCAAATGAATATTTTTAAAATTTTTTGTTAAATTTCTTAAATGAAAACTTCATATAAATAATGCAAAAAGTAAGTAAATACATTTATTGGGGTGTATGACATTTTCTAATTTACTAAAATTTATTAATTTACTATATCTGTTTGAGGCTATCGCAACTTAAAAAGGAGATTTTTAAGGAGATGCGTTTAAAATAAAATGAAATTGGAATCATTTGTTTAAAATGAATTGGATTAGGTTGGATTGCATTGGGTTGGTCCAAATACATATATGTATGTGAAGAAGAAGACTTAAAAATCTACATTGATTTTCCATAAAAAAATAAGAAAAAGGTATGGTACTTCAATATAGTAAATACTGGACAGTTGAATATCTTTTCAAGGCTATCTGGCGCAAAAAGAATTTCACTACTTCGCATATATCTCAAAAAATAATATTACGTATCTAGTACTAAGAAAAATAAACTTCCGAAACTCCAAATCATGCTCAAGTAGGCTTACATCACCCCACAAAAGCTCTTACGGGGTCTACATATACTACATGTTTTTCACGCAGAAGATCTGCTAACTGGCTACCATTAACCACAGCCATTCACCCACAAACTGTTAAAATTAATATTTTTTTTATGTAAATAAATTTAGTCCAAAGGAGAGCACTTTTACTGAGGTGATGGACTAGATTTTTTTATTTCAAAAGCACAATTGCCATTTTAAATCTTGGCCTTTTAACTTCCTCTTTAAAATATGTAAATATCAAATAAGATTTGACTCTTCTTGTTTACTTTTACTTTATTAAATTCCTTTTTTGGTCAACTCAAAGTAAATATATAAACATAAATACATACATACATACCAAATAAATTACAAAATATTTGATTCTCTTTCTAAATTCGTTACTCTCCACCAGCCGAATGCTAAAAGTCAACTCAAAAAACTCTAACTAACAAGCCTCGAGCACAACGTATAGCATGACACTCAACAAATTAAACTCTACTAAATTAGCAAAATTTAATGGAAATACTTTTGTAATTTAGCCAAAGATGATGACCGCCAACAACCCAGCGGCTATGCGCCACGCAATCCCCAACGCCATCCTACCACCAGTAAAGAGAAGAATAATCATTAAGAATACTTAGCTTA